CGTTGTCCGCCGTAGTGTTCTGGCGAGAGATGAAGCGTTTCATTAGGGATTATGTGGCTCACTGCAAGATTTGCCAGCGAAATAAGTCCGAAGCCCTTTCGCCAGTAGGTCTCTTGCCACCTTTACCTATTCCGGACTTGGTTTTGGGACGATGTATCCATGGATTTTGTCGGGGGCTTGCCTAAGTCCGGCGGGTTTGACACCATCTTGGTGGTCGTGGATCGTCTGTCGAAATACACCCATTTCTGCCCACTGGCTCACCCATATTCGGCCAAATAAGTGGCTGTATTGTTTGTCTCACACATTGTTAAGCTTCATGGGGTTCCACGCTCCATAGTAAGTGATAAGGACGCGATCTTTATGAGTGAATTTTGGCACGAATTATTCAAATTGCAGGGCACTAAGTTGTATACAAGTTCCGCTTATCACCCAGAATCCGATGGACAAACAGAGGTTGTTAACCGCTGCTTAGAGGGTTATTTAAGGTGCTTTGTGATGTGAACATCAGGGATGCAAGAAATACTCATCAAAATCGATCCGGAAGAGAGCCAACTAGTCTTACACGTCTATTGAGCCATTCCGGAAGAGAGCCAATTAGTCTTACACGTCTATTGAGCCATTGCATGGCCAACTTGCATGTCAATCCAGGATACACGTGCAAGGGGGAATTTCAAGAAGTTATGCGTGTTTTCCAGCCCGGGATAAAGTCAAATTGCAGATAAAGACTTGCCTTTATCATAATCCTATCTTTTTAGGTTTAAGTTTCAATTTAAACATTTATATTGCATAATAGACGTTTTTAAGTAAGGAGTTAGATTCAAATTCGGATTCCTTCCCTAAGAGATTATCTTTAGGCGTTTAGAAGGAAGGAGTTGGTGTCAAATTCGGATTCCTTCCCTGGATAAGCTTTAGGCTTGCATTTATCTTGTTTTTAGCTTTATCTTATTTTAGGCTTCTATCTCATTAAGGATAGGATAGGACTTTTCAATTTTTAAACCTGTTTCAGCTTATACTCAGCTATTTAAGGCTGAAAAACGAAAATTAAAAATAGTTTTTATATTTTATTCACATTATGAGATATTCTTCTTGTGTTCTTAAAGAAACTATTTCGAACTTATCAAGGATTCCTTGTGGCGTTCAACTTGACTTATCAAACGGATTTTTCATACTCGTTTGCGGCGTTTTCACCATACCAAGGTTATTTCTTTGCTAAGCAACGGGTCGTGGTTTCCATCAATTCTTGAAGATCTTGAATCGAAGTCCCATATTTGGCTACGGGTTTCGTCACGTTGTTGGCGGGGTTCGTATCAGTTGGTATCAGAGTTTAGGATCATTAGGTTTTGCTATCCTTGTTCTTGTTTATTGTGTTTCTCTTTTCTTAGTTTAAAAAAAATCGCACATTAGGGTTAGGGTTTTTTTTTTCAATTCGAAAAAAAAAATTGCGATTGTTAGCTAGCCACTTGTTTGAGTTTGAGTCCAACTATTATTGTTAGATTTCGACTTCATCTAGGTTTACCAAACCGATTAAAAAAAAGAGGAAGAAATCGGAAGACTGTGACTTGGAATGGCAATAACTTTTGATTCAGGAATCGTTACAGGACGTACAATATATCAAATCGAAGATCTTTCCGAGCTCTACAATCCTCACCTGGGTGGAGCCCGGTGACCCTGTTTTTGGGGCCAAAAAAAGCTTGTTTTCAATAGTTTCAGAACCCTTAAAGTTTGAGTGTCAAAAAAAAAAATTTCCGTGACAATATTTAAATTCGTTTGGATTAAGTCTTGACTTGATTGACTACTTGAATTCCTTTTCTTATTGTTGGTTTAATTTTGAAAGAACTAAAAGAAGAATACGAGAGGAAAAAGACAGAGTGTGTGAGCAGATTAGAGGATAAAAGTCAAAATTAACTTGAGTGAAACACAAGTGAATTCGAGTGAAACACGAGTGGTTTGAATAAGTTAGTCTTCGAGAGAAGCACTTTTTTTTTTTTTTAATCATGTCACAGGAACAAGAATTCAGGTTGAGAGGCTTGGGCTAGTCGCACGTCGAGCCTTAAACTTGCAAGTTAAAGAAGAGGAAGAATAAGTACAGCGGGAGAGCATCTTTCACACTCGTTGCCACATGAAAGACAAGGTATGTAGTGTTATTATCGATGGCGGTAGTTGCACTAATGTTGCTAGTACTTCCATGGTTGAAAAGCTAGGGTTTACAACACTTAATCACCATCATCCTTACAAGCTACAATGGTTATATAATAGCGGAGAAGTTAGGGTTACAAAATACGTTGTTGTACCATTCCGAATTGGTAAGTATGAGGATGAAGTATTGTGCAATATGGTACCAATGCAAGCGGCACATCTTCTTCTCGGAAGACCATGGCAATTTGACCGGCGCGTGCAGCACGACGGCTTCACCAACAAATATTCATTCTTACACAATCAACGGACTATCACTCTAGTTCCCTTAACACCAAAATAAGTATACGAGGATCAAGTGAAGTTACAAAAATTGAGTGAACAAGAGAACATGAGGGATCCAAATAATGAGTGAAAATAGGAGTGAGACCGTGCATAGTGAGAGAGAGGGGAAAGAGAGATACATGGCCAAAAAGAGAAAAGGAGAGAATAATGTCGAATCTAGTAAGGAACGAAAGAGAAAGAAGAGCTCGGCCAAGGATGTAAAAACAAAGAGAAAACAAAGAAATTTTTATGCAAAAGCAAGTGAGGTTAAGCGAGCGATGATTTCAAAACAGTCGATGAATGTACTCTTGTACAAGGAGGCCTTTTTAAGCACTAACCAACTTGATTCTTTGTTGCCTAGCGTTGTTTCTTTTTTGCAGGAATTTGAACAACCCCCATGAGAGGACACGGCCCAACATAGAAAAAAGAACCGAACAATACATCAAGCAAGCTTACAAAGAACGTCACAAGCTTATTTTTGACCCTGGAGATTGGGCGTGGTTACAAATGACGAAAGAAAAATTTTCGGCACCACGGCGTTCTAAGTTACTACCCATAGGAGAATGTGATGATTTGAGGACAAATCCTTCTCAAGAGGGGGGGAATGATGTGAACATCAGGGATGCAAAAAATACTCATCAAAGTCGATCCGGAAGAGAGCCAACTAGTCTTACACTGAGCCATTCCGGAAGAGAGCCAATTAGTCTTACACGTCTATTGAGCCATTACATGGCCAACTTGCATGCCGATCCAGGATACATGTGCAAGGGGGAATTTCAAGAAGTTATGCGTGTTTTTCAGCCCGGGATAAAATCAAATTGCGGGTAAAGACTTGTCTTTATCATAATCCTATCTTTTTAGGTTTAAGTTTCAATTTAAACATTTATATTGCATAATAGGCGTTTTTAAGGATGGAGTTAGATTCAAATTTGGATTCCTTCCCTAAGAGATTATCTTTAGGCGTTTAGAAGGAAGGAGTTGGAGTCAAATTCAGATTCCTTCCCTAGGATAAGCTTTAGGCTTGCGTTTATCTTCTTTTAGGCTTCTATCTCATTAAGGATAGGATATGACTTTTAAATTTTTAAACCTTTTTCAACTTATACTCGGCTATTTAAGGCTGAAAAACGAAAATTAAAAAAAGTTTTGATATTTTATTCACATTGTAAGATATTCTTCTTGTGTTCTTGAAGAAACTATTTCGAACTTATCAAGGATTCCTTGTGGCGTTCAACTTGACTTATCAAACGGATTTCCCATACTCGTTTGTGGCGTCTTCACCGTACCAAGGTTCTTGCTTTGCTAAGCAACGGGTCGCGGTTTCCATCAATTCTTGAAGATCTTGAATCGAAGTCCCATATTTGGCTACGGGTTTCGTATCACTTTGCAGGCAACAAACCGCGGTTGTGGGCTTCGTTTTTGCCGTGGGCTGAATACTGGTTCAACACAACCTTTAATGCCTCGTCCAAATTCACCCCCTTTCGCATTGTCTATGGCCGTGATCCTCCCACCCTTTTTCGCTTTCAGGACTCTCCCAGCACGGTGGCTGCAGTGGAGGACCAGTTGGCTCTTCGCAATGAAATGTTGGACTTGTTTAAATCTCATCTCTTGCTAGCCCAACAGCGTATGAAGAAATTTTTGGATAGCCGACGCCGAGAACTGAATTTCAACATCGGGGAGCTGGTTTTGCTTAAACTACGGCCCTACCGTCTGAAGTCCCTTGCTCGACGCAAGAATGAGAAGCTCGCTCCACGTTTCTATGGACCATTTGAAGTTTTGGCTAGGATTGGTCCTGTAGCTTACCGTTTGCGCCTGTCGGATACCGCTCGCATCCACCCGGTTTTTCATGTATCTCAGTTGAAACCTTTTAAGGGGGCGAGCTCCAAGGTGCAGCCTTTACCAGAGCAGTTGTCTAAAGACTTGGAATTGTGCGTCCAACCAGAGGAACTTTTGGCGTCTCGTGTGGTAGTCGTGGGTGGCCGCGAGGAGTAGCAGGTACTCATTACGTGGCAGGGCCTACAATTTCCCACTTTCAACCTTGGGGACAAGGTTGTCCTCGAGAAGAGGGGGGGGGGGGGGGGGTTGGTATTGTTAGGCCTCCTGTTACGTTGGTCTATTCTCGGAGGAAGGGGCATAGGGCAATTGTACAAGACAAGGGGGTAGGAAAGAAATATGGGAAAAGAGAGCTGATGTGGCAAGTTGTTTAGGAATTTATTAGTTGGGGAGCATATCTAGGGAAGGAGGGGGGACGAGAAAGGGAGTCTGTTGATTGGGAATTCTGTTAACAGACCTTGGGAGGAAGGAGAACCTCGAATTCTCCATTGTTCTTGCTTTTCTAATGTTCTTATTTTTATGGCTGTAATTCCTCTTTTCGGAGAGACAGAAGCGTGATTAATAAAAGGAACTTGACCCATTTTCAAGTATATTTCTCTGAGTCTGTTGTTCTGTTATTAGTCTGTGAAGGGGGTACCTAACAACGTTCTCAAAAAAGAACAAAAAAAAAAAAACAACAACTAGATTTGACAGGTCCATGAATTAGAAATTACCTCTCTCCTTGGTTGAAAACTTCGGTGATCCACTTGGGCAGTTTTGGGGTAGTCGCATAATTCTTTCTGCAGTATTTAGATCCCAAATCTCAACCTATGCGCATCAACCATGAAAGTATGATCAACGAAGGAATTAACCGATTGATTAAAACAAAAACAGTAGTAATCAAAAGTAACATATTTGACCTCAGAAGGCCGCTCTCCTGCTATAGTCACATACTTAAGTTCTTCAACGTGCATATCTCCTGAATCAAAAAAGAACTTTAGTCCATAACTTTTCTAATTTCAAAATTGTTTGGAGCAACAAAATTCATAGTAGCAATCAAATTCTCTGAAGAATCTAAAAGAGCAAGATAGCCATTTCATTTACGCTGCATTAGTACCAGAACAAGTATTCTACTGAAAAGATAATCCTCTAAAATACACAAACAAATATTTGCTGAAATGTTTCGTCTTGTTACGTACTATTCTCTTGACCATGTCCCCGGGTATCATCCAGAGTTTCTGCATTGGAAGTTTCTCTAACCTCCATTCTCTGGTCATCTTTATGCTCCGTAACCTGTGTGGAACAAGCATGAGGCTTTTTCACCAGCGAAAGCTTGCAAAAATGGTAGGAATTTGTCTTGATCGTAACCAAGGGACTCCTGAAAATTAAGTTCTTCAAAGTTTACCAATCCCATCATTGAAAAAACCTACCCATATATACCTTTATTGCCAAGAAATAGAAAATCCCTAAATCGAAGTATAATTGACTAAGGAAGAGAAATGTTTTTAACACAGTACCTAGATAGATCTCCATCTTCTATATTCCAACACTTGACTGTCCCATCTCTACCCTGGCTAAACCAATTCAATTAACCGGAAAAAAAAAAAAGAAAAAAAACCTTCTTTATTCAACAGAACTCTCATTTTAGCTCAAATATAGTGGAATATATGTTGTGTGTTTGTGTATACATAACAGAATGTTGAAAAGCACCTGATAATTTTGTCGTTTCCAATCGAAGAACTACATGCGACTGAAACAACTCCATGTGCCGCACTATGAACCCTGAAATTAATTTCCCAATACTAAACCCTAGATACTAAACAAGAAATAATCAAATTATCATCAATTTTGGAAAAATAAGAGAGAATTGCTGTTGGGTCGTACCAGGCTGAGGATATCGTTCGATGCTGAGATGTATCCCAAATCCGCAACTCACCTTCTGCAGAGCTAAAAGGAGAGAAACATGGAAATTAAAAGACGAAAATTTTTTATACAATTGAAATGAAAATAAAGGAAAGGAGGAAAAATCGTACGCGGTGAATAAGAAGGGTTGAGAAGGATGGAAGGAGAGGTCCATAACGGAGGCCTGGTGACCTCTGAGGACGGCAATGGGGTCAGGTGGAGGCCTTTTTTTGCTCATTCTTCCTGCGCTCTCTACAAAATCCGTCACCAAAAACTTGTCCCTGCGGTCTCCAAATTCCGACGCGCGTTTTCGCCGGTCCAAATTAGAGTAAGTAGATGGATCCTAATTTATACCCCGTTCACTTCGCTTATTCGAGTTTAGAATTTGAGTTGAGATGTGATTTTATGTGAGAGCTTTTTACTGTAGTAAAAAAGTTAGATGTAATTATTTGTGAGAGCTTTTTATTATAGAAAAACTCGAATCAGCGAAATGAACAGGACCTTAGTGTTTATTTATAGTTATTTTGAATCATAATTATAAATCAGTATTTAATTTGAATAATTTAGAATCTCATGTGATATTTTAAAATAGTTCAAATCATTATTCTAAAATTATTTTTACTCTTAATTTAAGGTGATTTAAATTCATAATTCGAATTATAATTTTAAAATTATGATTTAAACTTAAAATCATGAATCATAATTCTAATTTTAAAATAATAATTAAAATTACTCTAATTTAAATACTCGTGCTAAACAAATCTTTAGCCTCCGTATCGGATTTTCACAGGTGATGATTTTTGAAGCATCAACCCAGAATTAAAGGGAGCCTTCGTAATTCTCATTGAAAACGTTTCAACAGTGTACGAAAAAAAAAGGGTCTTGTTTAATAAAAATTTTAAAAATAAAAACGAAAATAAAAAATAATATAAAAATAATTTTTGTGAAAAAATAAAAAATAATTAAAAATTATTTTCTTTTCTGTTATATATAATTAATAATTAATAAATATATATACATAATAGATAATAAATAAATAATAATTACTTAATTATTAATTAA